CATTGACAAAAGAGTAGGTCAGCGAATCAACTCATGGAGTTTGGGTGGGGTGAAGCTGGTAGCCTGGGATAGCATGAAAGAAACAAGGACCATAGCGATTCCACTTATGGGACTTTATCTGAAGAAATCTGACACACTCAATGAAAGAATATATGCACCCCTATGTTCCTTGCAGCGTTATTTATAATAGCCAAGTTTTCGAAGCAGCCCAAGTGTTCATCAGTAGATGAGTTGATATAAAACCTGTTGTACATTTACACAAAGAAATACTACTCTGCCGTAAAAAGGAAGAACATTTTACTCTTTGTGACAGCATGGATGGACCTGGAGAACATTATGGTACGTGATATGAGCCAGTCAGGGAAAGACAAGAACCATATGACTTCACTCTTATGTGGAATTTAATGAACAAACTGAATTACCAAGAGAAATAGAGACGGACTCATATAGAGCAGGCAGACAGCTCTGGGGGGTGGGGGGGAGGCAGAAAGGAAGGCTGGTATTAAAGGTGTGTGGAGGGATTGACTAAGATTTCATGGACATGGTCAACAGGGTAGTGATTGTAGCAAGGAATGAGGTTGGAAGTGGAGGAAGAGGGCATAGAGGGAATAACTGGTGATGAAAAAAAACAAAACAAAAATGAAAAACACAGATCAAGGGATTAGAGGTCTCCATGAGGCTAAAAAGCCTACCTAAAAAGAGGTCAAGTATAAACTTGGAAGAATTGGAAGTTGTGATGAAATAGAGAGACATTGGTATTTAATGTTTTAGAACTGAAACATAGTCACTTATTGATCAAGACCAAAGTCTGATAATGGTTGTGGGTGATTGAAGTGAAGTGGGTCTAAGCACTTCCCCTACTCCTGGAACACTTGCTGCCTTTCCCTTTACCATTCTTTCTGGCCAATTCTACTCACTCTTCATCATCAGGTGCAATAATATCTCAAAGAAGCCCCTGTAGAGAAAAGTCTCTAAAATACGGAAATAAGGCAAAAACAAATTCTATGTCTTTTAAATATCATGCTAACATATGATCTAATAAAGTTATCTAAGGATCACCTGACACCTGACTTAGGAAAATGAAACTTTATTATGGTTTTATTGACCTATCGAACATTAACTTAGCAGTCTTATTTAAGGATTGATTTTTCCCCCCCTGATTTGAATCACCTTTATTATTTCCTCTTTCTCTCACTTATGAGTTAATAAAATTATGGTGCCTGATTTCTATGTGTGATTATGAGAGTTGTGTTTTTAACATGTTGAAAATGGCAGTTTTATTTCTTTTCTTCCCCCTTTTTCTATTTTATCTCTCCTTTGAATTTTCACAGCATCCTGTTCTTGCTCCATACATTGTGTTATAACTGAGTTTAATTCATTCAAAGAATATGTATTGAATTCCTCTTAGGTGTCACGTACTGTGATAGGTGTTGGTTATACGGTGGTGTACAAGGCAGACGTGGTCTAGCCCTCAAAGGTTTTTCTTTTGCCCAGCCTTTTCCTCTTACTAGAGTGTAAGTTTTATAAGTACAGACCATATCTTACCCATTATCAGTGTTAAGTATTGTGCTGTCCCCCAAAAGTTGCTCAATAAATATTTGTTGGATAAATGTGTGGATGAGTGTGTAATAGTGGAAATGCATCCATAGACATGAAATGCTAGTGTGTTAGATGGACTGTCTCTTTGGCCTGGAAGTAATCTAAGGTTATGGCAGGTATTGGGGTGGTGAGACAGACTATAACCCAGTTGTAAGTAAAGGGAGAGGAGTGACTGGCTTACAACAAACCCTTAAAAACAGGAAGTATTTACATGCTTGAAAAAAGAGAAAGCCCTGGGAATTTAATGCAATGCCAGGAAAGTAGGAAATTTAGGATGTATTTAAGGCAAGATGGTAGATGGAATTTGAGGAAAGAGAGGGAAGATGTCTTAGGAGTTATTTTCAGTGGCATAAATTTCTAGAGGGCCCAGAGGAAAAGTTTGGGTTGAGGGTATTGGGAACAGTAGTAGATTGCTTCAAATTAGAGATGAATGGGGAGTGAGTAACCGGTACAACAACTTAAAACTTGATGACATAAAAATGGTCTTTTTCAGCTTTGTGTCGTAGCACTACCTTTATCTCCCCCTGCCTGTTCTCATGGTAATTCTCCCCATTTATCGATGACACCAGGCCCTGTCTTCCATGCCACCCTCCAAGCCAAGGTCTGTCATTATCCTTAGTGACTTCAGTGTCTACATGGATAAGCCATTCAAAAGCCTGTATTTCTCTTTATTGAAGTCTTTAACAACAAATGCTTATTGAATGCTTTCTTTGTTCCCTATTCTATATTAGGCAGTGACTTTAGAATGATATTTTAAAAAGCATGCCTCCCATGTTCAAGAAACTTGATAATACATATAAATGCACATGGAAATATATGGACAATTGCATTTGTCTTAGTACAATGATGTGAAAACAACAGGGTACTAGAAAAGGGAATAATGCTGCCGCCTAATTTAGCTGGAGGGGCAGTAAAGGAAAGACTCTCTGAGGAAGTAATATTGTATCCACTACTAGAGAGTAGGTAGTAGTTATCCTGATGAAGAATAGAGAGAAAACTGAAAAACTACCACACAGACATGGGGTACAATGTTCTGGGAACACACTTAATTATGCAGCCATATTCATATTGGAAATCCAAATGTTTGAATTTAAGTCAGATGTGGGGCAATTCTAGGTGGTGACAGGCCCAGAAGGGCTGTGAGAGCAAGTGGAGAAAAGGGGAGTCAAAGTGAAGACCTATGTAATTTGCCTTCTCTCTAGATCTCCAACTTGATTGCTGTTCATTTCGCTTCCTGTTACAATAGTTCTGTGCTGGGAGGCTGAGAACCTGAGTTTGGTGCTCTGCTGAACTGGTTTGGATGGACAAATAGCCTTTGAAGAGCCTTATTCCCTTTCTACAAGTCAGTTTCCTTTGATTTTCTCTTAGGAACGTCTGAGGATATTGTACTGGCAGGTACGCAAATTTTTCATTGCACTTTTATTTTAACCGCCAACTAAGGGCTATAGTTACTAGATGAAAGGCCCTTAGGTTAGCTGAAGTTTTGATGTGTCTGGGTAGGTAAATTTGAAGGTAGGAGTTAAAGAAAGTTGTTTTCCTCTATAAAAGAAGTAAATAATTCAGTGTGTGTGTGTGTGTGTGTGTGTGTGTCGGGGGGGGGGGCACAGTTCGGTAAGAAAGGGATGAAGCAGTGAAGAGCATAGAAGGAGAAGAGTGAGATGCAAGCTCGGCATGGAGCAGGGCTTTGGTGTGATCACACCATGTCACTCCCTCAAACTGTAATCACATCTAACAGGAAGGAAGCCAACTAAAGTGTTCCACTCAAGAGGGAGCAAGTGTGAAGGCCTGATGTAAGAAGAAGCTTGGTGCCTTGAGGAACTGGTCAAAGCCAGTGTGTCCAGAGCTCAGTGAGAGAAGGAGACATAAACTGGGGTCATGTCTGAGAGTTAGACAGAGGGCTAATGACATAAATCTTCATTTGACTCCACTGTTCACCACTTACTCTCATGGCCAGTTCTGGTCATGCCATTGCCAAGAATTGCCCGACATCTGACTTAAATGCGAACGCTTAGATTTCCTATATGACTATGGCTGCACAAGTCAGTGTGTTCCCCTTCTCCTCTTAGGTGTAAAATACCAGCAGAAAAAGAACCAAATTTGAAAAAATTGTGAACACCAGACATTAAAATTGGTGTCAAGTCTTATAAAAGCAGCTGTGGTCACACGGAAGGCATGTGGCAGAACGTGCAGAGAGCTGTGGAGAACGGTAAGAGGGCCATGCAATGGAAACATTAGAGAGCACAAGCAATCATATTCTTAGTGAAGAGAGAGACATACCTTGAAATTCAAAAGCTACATGCTTGCATGTAACAAATGATTCAGGAACTGAGGTGTGCATCCTAGACCTACTTTTCTTTAGAGAAGCAGAGGGCATGAGATATGCAAATATTGACACACATGAGCCATGTTGGTAGGAAGAAGCCTGTCTCTGTGGCAGCAGGTTGACTGAGAATCAGCTGTTCTGGAACACTACACTAGCCCCTGCCTCACAAGAACTTGTAGAAATTGGTGGACTAGGAAAATTCAATGGATGCAATAACAGATAAGACAGTAAGACTGGCATAGCAACAGTGCAAAGATTATACATGAAAAAGGAGACAAATGGTCATCAAGATTTATTACAAAAATGCTGCTATAGAATAGATGAATAGTATAGCCAAAAATTTAGCTATGAATTTAAAAACTATTAATAATTAATAGCCTATGAAGGAATAACATAAAGCATAAGTACAAAAATTTAAGTGGACTGTGGAAAGACAATAGAACCTGGCAGAATTCAAGAAGGTTGTGCAATACCTCTCTCTCTCTCTTTCTCTCTCTAGCTCGCTCGCTCGCTATATATATAAAATAAAGAACAGCTGTGTTTAGGCTCATAGTACTTTTGCAGCAGGTCATGTTCATATAGGTAGAGGAAAATCTAGCATAAAAATGCTGTGGAAAAAAGTATTAAAATGAGTTACAGGAGAGACTGGGCCATTGCAGGGCTAGTAAGGAGAAAATCTGAAAGTGCCTTTTGGTGAAGAGTGTTATGGTTTGAATGTTTGTGTCCCCTAGAAATTCATATGGTGAAGTCACAGTGCCCAATGTGAGGTCCTTATCACATGAGTAGAATTAGTGACCTTATAAAAGTGACCACCACCCAACAATCTCGAGCTCCCTAGATCCTGCTGTCATGTGAGGACTCAAGGAGAGGTTGGTTGTCTGCAACCTGGAAGAGGGCTTTTATCAAAACCTGACTATGCTGACAATCTGACCTTGAACTTTCAGACTCCAGACAGAAAAAATGTTGTTGTTTACAAGCCATTTCGTGTGTGGTATTACGTCACACCAGCCTGAGTGGAGTAAGACAAGAGGGTCCAATTTCAAAGAGAAGTTAAGTAGGTGAAGACTGGAAAATTTGGTCAGAAAAGGATGGGAGAAGGTAGAAAGAAGAGGAGGGAAGTTGGGTCCTGGCTGCAAGACTTGTGAGGGTGTGATGAAGAGAGCAGGACCAAGCCTATGTGCTTAGAGCTGCCACTGCCATGGATGTGAGCATTAGGTAGGACACAGTGAGGGGAGAGAGAAAACTGACCTGCTATGAACAATAGTTGTTCCTTTTTCTCTTTCAGTAGTGGATTCCAGACAGAACACAGCACACTCTGCTGAAAAGGTGCTCTGAAGGACAGTGATGTTGTCACATGGAACATGCCACGTTTGTGCTGGATGTGAGACGACTCAGCTGGAATCTCTTCTCCCTCAGAGTCCAACCACTGGACCTGTGGCTGAGGGAACCAGCCCTCTGACTTGCACACTACTTCTGTTTTTCCAGAGTCAGTGACTTGCACGTGGAAGTGAGGATTTGAGCCGAGAACTGGGAAGCAAAAGAGGGAGAAGCCAGTTACTAAGATCATCCTCCTGCTCACATATCCCTCCCCTGCTTATGAAGAGTTTTGGCTGCTGACTAGACCTCAATGTACAAGGAATTGAGGCTCTGAAGAGGTCTTGGCAACAAAGGATGGGAACCTAGACCCCTGGGCTAGAAAGGAGCCCAACACAAATGGCTCCAGCCTATTTCTTGATTCCCACTATCAGTCTCTATATTATCTTTTATTTATCCTCCAGGAGTGATATATGGAATAATAGGGTGAGTAGAAGTAGTGGTCATCTTCTTTTCTCCTATGCCTTCTTTATATTTCTGAGGAAAACTGGATCAGAGGAAGGAGCCCCTCCCAGAATAGACTCACATCTGTGTTGCGTCAAGGGGATACATGTGGGCCATTACCTGCCACTTTCAGCTCAATCACTGCATCACCGTAGAAGGAGCCATGCTGGAACGCACAGCGATACTGCCCACCGTCAGAGTGTTGGACATTGAAGATTCTCAAGATCACAACCCCCTTATCCATATAATCTGTAACAAGCACTGTTCTCCTGAAATACTCATCCATGGCTTCCTCAGGCTTGTCTCTCCCGTCCTCATACAGGTGCACCACCTGGGATGGTAGGGATCGGGTCCAGCATATTTTCATATTTTTAACATTTTGAGGAGGCAAGAGGAAGCAGTAGAGCTTTGCTTCATCCCCCAGTGTGGCCACCAAGGGTTTATTAGGTCCTTTGACATGAAATTCTCCTGAAAATATAATAGTGATGGAGTCAGTGTGGGCTGGGGGCAGAATTTGGGCAGATGAAAGGAGGTTGATTAAACACATGATTGGCTACTTTCATCCCGACCAAGACCCAGGGACAAAGTCTTTAAGGGGATAGTTGCTGGATCTAGGGGTTCTCTTTTCTGACCCGGACATACACACAGATCTAGAAAGAAGCTGTGGATGTTGGAAGAAGGAGGTGTAGGCATGGCTAACATAATGCAAGCAAAAGACTTAGGGCACAAATTTTGAGGTTGCACTCACTTTCAGGGTATACGTGTAGTGTCAGCCAAATCCTAAGAAGAAGTGCCTCTTTAAATTTTGGGCCCTAGCCCTGGCCTGTATGGCTCAGTTGGTTGGAGCTTTGTTGGGTACACCGAAAGGTGGCAGGTTCGATTCTGTCAGGGCACATACCCAGTTTGGGGCTTGATAATCAGTCCCCCATTGGGGTGTGTATGGGAGGCAACAGATCGATGTTTCTCTCTCACATTGAAGTGTCTCCCCTCCCCCCTCCCTCTCTTTTCAATGAAAAATATATCCTTGGGTGAGGATTATAAAGGAATTTTGTGTGTGGGGGCCCTAGGCTCCTCACTTAACTCACCCTGTGGGGAGGGCCCTGAGGCATATGACTGCAGTAGATGGGGAACAGACATGCTAGCCCTTCAGGTCAGGCCCTGTCCTTGTCTGTAGGGAGGGCACACAGGAACTCTGATGGCTCTGTGTGGACAGTGAGCGACTGTGTTGAGAAAGAATCTGAAGCAGCTCAGTGGTAAAGGTGTTCGAGAATAATGATACTGTTTGCCATGAGCATGGGATGAGAAAATGGGGGCAAAGAAGCTATTTTTTTGCCAGTCTTATTGTACTTTACACACAGACACACACACACACATATTTATATACATACACACACACACATATATATATTTTTTGAAAATATTTTAAATTAATTTTGTGTTGTTTTGTTTTGTTAATCCTCACCCAAGGATATTTTTCCTTGATTTTCATATAGAGTGGAAGGGAGGAAGGGAAAGAGAGAGAGAACTATTGATGTGAGAGAGACACATCTACTGGTTGCCCTCCACACAACCCGGACCAGGGCTGGGGATCAGACTTGCAACCCAGGTACATGCCCTTGACCAGAATTCAACCCAAGAACCTTTGGTCTGTGGGCTTGACTGGAATTGAACCCAAGACCCTTTGGCCACTGAACCAAACCGGCCAGGACTTATACATTATACTGAGGCTCTAGGAACTTATGCTTATTTATTACCATCTGGGGCTCCTTTACTTTCTCTCAGTCTTTTCCATCACACATGCACATATCTGCTCATGTGCGTACACTTGCGCGCGCGCGCGCACACACACACACACACACACACACACACACCAGGCCTGGACAGGTAGATACGAATAAAAATGCCTAGTATTGTGCTTCATAATGAGTAAGTGAAATAAAGTTAACTTCTTTATTTTCCCCAGGATCTCATAGCATTTGTATTTTGTCAAAAATTTTCTTCCAGCTTTCTTCTCTTTTCCTTTTTCCTTCCCCTTACAAATCAGAGAATCAGGCTTATATGGGGAGTCCTACCTGTAACCGTCTGGAAGCAGAGGTAGAGTGAGATGAGGCAGCCACGATGAATCATAGAGACTCGCTGACTCCTCAGGTGACTCTGGCAGGGTGATCTCCAGGCTTTGTGCTGATGACTCATTGAAAATTGAGGAAAACACTGTAATGAGGACAGAGATAAAAAGAGAACTCTGGAACTTAAGCCAAGGGGCAGAGAAACAAGGGAATGTAGAACTCTCCCTCCTGGGCACGTAAGGGGCACATCTTATCTACAGAACTAAGGTGAGGGGCAGAGTAAGATTCTTCTCCCTTTTCTATAAGTTTTGAGACCCTTGATTTTCAGGACAACTCAGGGCACTCACACTTCGAGTCTCAATGGTCCTTATGCACAATGTCTGCTGCCACTCAGCCTGCACTGGCTCCTCTTCCTCACCCCACAGCTCAACTGCTCCTCCCCAGGCCCCTGTCCTGGATCCCCTCTTCAACTCATGTTCCATATACTCCCTTTGTGATTCCTTGTAATGCCATGGCTCCAGCTACCTTCTACATGCTGATGGCACACTCTGTAGATATCTATTAAATCCATTTGGTCTGGTGCTTCATTTAGAGTTTCTGTTTCTTTGCTAATTTTTTGGTCTAGAAGATCTATCCAGTGATGTTAGCAGGGTGTTGAAATCCCCTGCTATGATTGTATTGCTATTGATTTCTCCTTTGAAGTCCTCCAGAAGATTTTTTATATATCTTGGTGCTCCTATATTGGGTGCATATAGGTTTATCAAGGTTGTATCTTCCTGTTGGATAGATCCTTTCAATATTATGTAGGGACCTTCTTTGTCTCTAGTTATGGCCTTCATTTTGAAATCTATTTTATCAGATATGAGTATTGCTACCCCAGGTTGCATGGATGATTTTTTTCCATCCCTTCACTTTCTACCTATGTGAGTGTTGTTGTGAGGTGAGTCTCTTGTAAACAGCATATAGATGAGTCATGCTTTCTTATCCAATCAGCTATTCTGTGTCTTTTTATGGGAGTATTCAATCCATTTACATTTAAGGTGATTATTGATATGTACTTATTTATTGCCATTTTTGTTTAGTGTGGTTTTATTTTTCGTCCCATTTCTTCTGCTAATTACAGCAGTCCTTTTAACATTTCTTGCAGTGCTGGTATGGTGCTTATATATTCCCTTAGCCTTTTTTTTTGAGAAGCTCTTTATTTGACCTTCTATTTTGAATGATAGCCTTGCTGTGTAGAGTAGTCTTGGATTCAGATCCTTGTTTTTCATGACCTTGATTACTTCCTGCCATTCCTTTCTGGCCTGTAGTGTTTCTTGTGAGAAGTCAGCTCAGAGCCTTATGGGGTTTCCTTTGTAGGTAACCTGTTGCTTATCTCTTGCTGCTTTTATGATTCTCTCTTTGTCTTTAATTTTTGGCAGTTAGATTACTATGTGTCTTGGTGTGGGCTTGTTTGGGTTCTTCTTACTTGGGGCTGTCTGTGCTTCTTGAACTTGAATGCCTTCTTCCTTCACCAAATTAGGGAAGTTTTCTGTCACTATTTCTTTGAATATATTCTCTAACCCTTGCCCATTTTCTTCTTCTTCGGGGACTCCTATGATGTGAATAGTATTACGTTTCCAGTTGTCCCACAGTTCTCTTAAGCTGTCTTCCTGTTTTTTAATCATTTTTTTCCTTTTGGTTTTCTGATTGGTTGATTTTTTCTACCCTGTCTTCTAATTCATTGATCTGGTCCTCAGCTTCCTCTACTCTGGTTTTTAGACCTTCCAATGTGTTTTTATTTCTGATATGTCATTCTTCATTTCTTCTTGGTGGTTTTTAATTTCGAACTGGTTGATTTTCAACATTTCTATGTCTTTACTCATGGTGCTCATGTCCTTGCACATGCTGTTGAGCTTCCTCAAGATCATGGCTCTGAATTATAGTTCTGTTAACTTGCTTAACTGCACCTAATTTATCTCATATTCGTTAGAGGTCTCTTCTTTCATTTGGCTTTTGTTTCTTTGTTTCACCATTTTGGCTATCACAGTGGGCTTTGGAGTCTGCCAAAATTTTCCTGTGCGTGTTGGTGTTTTGCTGTTTGTGGCTCCCTCACCTGGGTTTGGATGAGGCAGGGAGGGCCCGCTTTAAACACCACTGTCAAGTCTTAACTTTCCTGGTTAGAGTCAGTAGCCCAGGGAATGGTAGTTATCCTCTAGCTTTTTTGCCTGGAGGCTATTAGTAGTGGTCACCTGAAGGACCTTGGTTTCTGAGTTGACTGAAAAACTCCCTCAGGTGCTCAGTGTAAGAGGATTTCCTGAGGGTGGGGCAGATGCTGTTTGTTAATGGGCCTCAATTAGCATTCCAGTGGCCACCAGGTGGGGTTGAATCTCTGAGGGAGGGGCCGCCACCTCTCCCCAGGGCCCTGGGAAGGAGTAAGATGACCACAGTCCTTCATGGCTGCACTCAGCAAAAGCTCCGAGCACCCTCCAAATCCTGGGTGTCCCCACACAGTTCCAGTCCAGTCTGCCCTCCCTCTGCCGGAGCCCAAGGTGAGGGGCTGATGCCAATTTAGCCTCTGTCTGGGCTCTGCCTAGTGGAGCCGCCTGGGACTTTAACCTGAGGGCATAGCACCCAGCTGAGGTCGCAGGACCCAGCCAAGGGCGCAGCTTCTAGCCGAGTCCCCTGGTCCCAGCCCAGGCCACTGTGGACCGTGGGCTCCCGGCCCCCTCTCGCGTCCTTGCAAGCATACCAGGATTGAGTCAGTGTCCCTGGTTATGTGGTCCTCCAAGCTGCCTTTCGTTTGCCCCTTCCTGATGATTTGTCTTTATTTTCATTGTAATTCCAGTTTGGTCCTGGGAGATGGTCTGTGTAGCTTCCATTCACTCTGCCGCCATTTTTCCTCCTCCACACATGATGTTTTTATGGTGGAACCTAAAGGAATTGATTTTGAAAGAAGGAATAAGACTTGCTGTTTTATAAAGACTCAGAAGGAGGTAGAGGATGATGGGCAGTTTGGGGTTCTCTCGGGCAACTCTAAAGTGATAGCAACACTAGCTGTAGTTAGGGCTCTTACATCCTAAGAGCAGGGATTTAGAGTACTTTGCCAGCTGTCAGTCAGACTTTGCTGGACCAGTCTTATGTTCACTGTAGATTCCTTCAGGGACTTCGCCTGGTCCACCACGGCTACTTCCTTGGGCAACACTGAAATCACCAGCTACACCTTCAGTATTTCTAACTTTCTTTTCTGAAAGTAAGAATCCTGGCTCTTGATCATATATATATTTATCAATCTCTCTGTGTGACGCTTATTTCTCACCTCTGTTTCTACCCATTCTCCTACATGAATGCCCCCTCAACCCTCTCCAACACTATGCTGGACACTCCCTCCACATGGATGTGTCCTTACCTTGTTTGGGTTCTGGCATATCCTACCCCATTCCTCACAGTGCTTTGGCTGTGACACTCATTGAAGTTTTACTTCCCCCATGTCAGGCTGTCCCCCTGGGTTGGTGGTATCCCTTCATTGCTTGGGCTCTGACCTCTTGCCATTGGCCACCTCAGTTACCCTTCTGCACCCTGCCCCTCTGACTGCCAAATAGATGTCAGCTTTGCCCTACCTCACCAAACATGTTAAGACTGGGTTGTTCAGGGAGGGAAGGAAAGGAAAAAGAAAGGGAAAGAGCAAAAGGAAGGGAGAGGATTGAAAGGCTATCCCCTGCTTTTTAAAGTAAAAGGACAATTGTGAGAGATGGATTGGGAAATAAGCCTCTGTAAACAATTTTAGGGAAGAGAACACATAGGGTTAGACTGTGGTTCTCAACCTTCCTAATGCTGTGACCCTTTAATACTGTTCCTCATGTTGTGGTGACTCCCAACCATAAAATTATTTTTGTTGCTACTTCATAACTGTAATTTTGCTACTGTTATGTCTTAGGCAACCCCTGTGAAAGGGACGCTTGACCCCCAAAGGGGTTGCGACCACAGGTTGAGAACCAATGTAGGGTATGCGCATTCATCTTGCTAACACTTCTCCTGTCTGAGTAGTTTTGAAGAGGCTTTTCACACCCTTAGGTACATGTTCACTCTTTTCGAAGACCACCAATCTAGGCGCCTCATATTAAGTAATAAATGCAAACACCTAGGAAGAGACTTCCCATCTCAGAATCCTGGCAAACAGGGCCCAAAGGTTTTTAATTACTATAATTATTTCACCCCAACCTCTACAGTTTTACCCTCCTTCTGTCTTCTTTTATCCCACTTTCCTGTCTAAAAGCACAACTCTCTCACCCCTACCTCCTTGGTACAGTAGCACATTTCACAGACACTAACTTGGTCTTTTCTTCAAAATGTCTCCTCCTCCCGCTTTGGGACTGACTCCCCCCATAGGCAGGGGTCCACACTTACCTTTGCCTCTGTTGTGGAGCTGGGACTTGGAGGTTCTGCGCTGTAGAATGTCCATATGTCTTAAAAGAGAGCTTTATAAGACTTTATATTCTCTTTTGGACTTTGGATTTGGCTTGGGCCTATATCAATGACACATCTAGGGTTGAAACAAGTATTATGTTTCATAAAGGAAAAGTATAAAGACTTCTTATCTACATACTTCAGACTATGAAACTAAAAATCAGAATGTAACTTGGCAAAGGTCCTGGACATAAAGAGCACATAACTAGATTGCCTAAAATGAAAGATTAACATCATTCACTGAATCTGAAGTACTGTCTGGCCATCAGTATTTCCTTGAACATTTTCTATTTTTTTTTTAACATGTTCCACACATCCACTTTTATACCTTTAATTACTTCTCAAACCTCCAACCTCACTCTGCTAGTCTTCTCAGCTGCCTCATTTTATTGACCAAAAGAAGCCACTGGATGGAAGCATTTTCATCTCCTGTACACATCTATACCCACTCTCCCTAAAACAAAGCCCAAGTTCATCTGTATGTAATTTCTCCTTTTCTGTTGTAATGGAGAAAGTAGCTTTCTATCTCTATGACTGGGCCTTCCTATCATTTTGTAAACTCATAATTTGTGTATTATGTCCTATTCTGCTTGAAGTATCGAGAGATGTTTCTATTTCCTATTTTATGCTGACTGATAGACTAAAGCCCCAGTTTACTCATCTGTTAAATGGGTTTAAGAA